TAATGCTTTCCCTGCCTTCCGCCCCTGACTTAAAAAAAAAAAAAAAAAGAAAAAAAGAAAAAAAAAAAAAGAAAAAAGCTGAACTTTTCACATCACTAATTGGTTTAGGATTTAGGGTGTTACTTTCTAAATCCTAAGGCTACCTGGAGTCCTTTTTTTTCATACACCTCTATTATTATTATTATAATTATTATTATTATTGAAACAGTGTAAATCAGACGTTGCCTGGGGGGTTGGTTTTGTTGGTTTGCTTTTTTGTTCTCCTTGCAAAGCCCTTTCTGTCCCTTGTAAAGCTGACCCAGTTCTCCGGAGTTGCTATTTTTCTCTGCTTCCCCCACTCCCCCCCTGCTTTTTTTTTTTAATTTTTTTCCTCTTCCGAATGGATTCCAAATATTAATAAAAAGAAAAAAAAAAGAAAAAATCCCTTAAAGAAAAAGACTCTCTGTTCTGATCTGTTTTTGAAACTTTAAGCTCTTCTGCTTCTGTAAAGAAAAAAAGAGAGAAAAAAAAAGGCCTCTGTCTTTCTGATTCCAATTGAGACTTTTCTGTTCTATGACGATACTAACAAGGTGTAGGTTTTACAGTTTCCTGATTTGTACTGGTAATGCATATTCCAAATAAATAGTTTCTTTTGTTGCAAAAAAAAAAAAAAAAAACTAAACAAACCCTGGCGTATTTTTTTTGCAAGGAAAAAAAAAAAATAAAAAGCGCTCGTGGGCCCTCTGGGTAGCTTTAGCCACCCCCTCGCACCCCGGAGGTGTCAGGCTGGAGAGCAGCTCCCGCGTCGGTGCAGGGTATGGGGTGGGTTGAGTTGGGTTGGGTTGGGTTGAGGGAGGCACCAGGACACCTCGTGCTCGGCTCTCCCGGGAGCATCGTGTCTGGGGCCCACGCTGAAAACTTGCAGTTAACCCCTTTTTTGACCTTTCCTTTGCAGTTTTTGCAATCAGCTTCTGGGGGTTTTCCCCAGTGATGGAGTGGGGCAGTGCTTCTAGAAATTATCTACGAATTTTTTTTAGATAATCAGCTCCCAATCCTTGAGTTGCAAGGCAAACTAAACAGCTTATGTAAAAAAAAAAAAACAAAAAAAAAACAAACAAACAAAAAAACCACACACCCCTCCTCTTCCCAAACTTTCCACATCTGTTAAAATTTTCCACAGGGAAGGGCAGGGGGGACGGGCAGGAGGGAGGGAGGCTGCAGGCGGTACCACTAAATTGCAAAGCCAATTTAGCTGGGATGACATGTTTTCTAACTGGCAAGAAATATCACCCCATTAGACTAAGCCAGTTCTGCTAGTCTAACAAGGACCCTGACAGCCAAATCCCACTGTTTTATTTTATAATTGTTTGCATTTTCACCATAGGGGCTTTTATCTCCTCCCTGCCTCGCTTCCGCACCTTTTCCCTTCTCGCCTTGCTTTCCTTTGCTTCTCTGTATACATCCATCCCGTATATAAGTGGAAAAAAAAAAAAAAACCTCTACATTTCCCTATTTTTGGGTAACTGCATTTAGCCCTGGTTTTGTTTTTTGAGGGGCAACTAAAGGATAAACTGAGGCAAACAGCAGTTTACACTCGGAGCCGGCGGCAGGGGCCCATCACCCGTGTGCAGGGGATGGCAAACACGCCCCGATATTAATAACCCTTCCAAAATAACC